TATTTTGTGTTTTAGATTTGTGATGTTTTTTTTTTTTTTTTTTTTTTTTGAGGTAGTAAAAAAATCCTACAAAAATAGCGGGACATCATTTATAGATGGCCACACACTAATCTTTCAACATTCCTTATAATTTCCTAAAGCTTTCCCTTTGAATGGTTAAATGCATCGCTCGGTTTTTTATTTCATCATCAACCCTTTACGGCCACGTATCGGTATGCATTATTTTGTTTTACTCTATAGTATAGTGCATTCAAAAAGAAATTTCTCGAAAATGTTAACGTGTGAACTGAAAAAAAAATTTAAAAATTATCAAATTTCCGTTCGATCAAATTTCCGTCGATCAATTTTCCGTTGACGAAATTTTTTTCAAACAAATTTCTGGTAAGCTGACAAACGAGGCCAAGCCGAGCCAAGGTCTATATTCCATTTATGAATTTCGGTCTGTCGTGATGATCGTACCCATGTCCTCAAGGCTGTCTACTTCTTTAAGCATATGAGCGGTAAGAATCATGTTGGCAATACGAGCGTTCTTGTCAACACTGGCGAGTATCTTACTCTCTTTAAGTCTTCATACCAACCTAGCTGCAAATTGTGTACCAATAAGCAATACGTTTTAATGAACCATTTTAAAAATATATTTACGAAGCTTTTTTTAACAAAAAATTATATATATATATATATATATATCTGCATGACTCTACATCAGGCCTGCACAACTCAAAATGTAAGGCGGGCCGTAATACTTTATGAAAAACTTGTGTGGGGCGAAATAAATTTATGAAAAACTTTGCGGGCCAAAAGATAATAGGACAGGGGCGAAAGCTAGTAAGAAAATAGTTATAATAAAGAATATTTTGTTACTTTGGGGGCCGCCTAGTAGTTATAATAAAGAATATTTTGTTACTTTGAGGGCCGCCTAGGGGGTGCTGGCGGGCCACATGGGGCCCGCGTGCGTATGTTGTGCAGGCCTGCTCATTGGACAACAGAGGATTATCCTATTTCTTAACTTTTTTTTTTTCTTCATAGAATAGCATTTTCATCGGTGTTGTATTGTTCATGGTTACGATCATGCCAGTTTCAAAAAAGTAAGAAGCAATCACAAACTCTGAGATTTCCCATTTTTAAATTCGCTTTAGTTTAGAAAAAATGTGATACTATGCGTATGAGGTTTACATGTTACCAGTAACAGAAACATTGCAAATCCCATCTACATGCATAGGAGCCAAAATGATCAATAAATTGATCGTGGGCCCTTAAGATATAGAAGAAGAAGACATAGTCCGCCAACTTTGGACGGTTTAAACCAACCCACAATCCCCAGCCTTAATCATTATATTTTCAAAGAAAATGTTTAAAAAGTATTGGTAAGAGATGTAGAACTACGGCATATGAAATTTTAATCTTTACTAACTTTTAGCTGTATTGAAATTTGTAAAAATAAAATTCTTGGAATTAAAAGTAGGCCTACAAACTCGCATAACCTAATTCAAATAATTTTATACCATGGTGTTTAGGGTATACCTACAAGAATTTACGCGCCCATGCCTATGGGACTGAAAAACATGTTGGCCTATAAGATGCGTTTGTTTTATCACCAAAGATATTCAGACTTTATTTTATTTGCTTCCAATAAATAAATAGAAATAAAAATACGTCACTATTTGATAATTTATGCTTGAAACTGCCTAGCCCACTGAAGAATATCATTAAATAATTTAAGTCCTACCACCCCCAACACACACAGGCATAAAATGCAACAGAAATTTAGGCTACTTAAGGGAAAATTAAATTTGTGTATTTAGAACCTTAATTTCTTATCCCATTTTCTTTGTTAACGGACAAAAAGAACAGTCAGAGCCACTGCCGTGTTGTCAATCGTGTGAACTGCTATCTGCTACTTAAATACTCATTACAAATATTTAAGTTTTTGAACAGGAATGATTTATGATTTATTTTTCGCTCTTGCCACTTCTCCAAAGTAACAAAATATAAATACAGTATGAAAAAACACAGAATTAGCCGTCATGACATTAGAGAGCAAAAGGATGTATCAATATCTAGTAGCAATGCTAAAAGTAATAGCTTGGGCATGAGCAAATTAGCCAAATCACAGCCAAACGAGGCAGAGGTAAATCGTAAAAAGTTTAAAAGTGTACGCCCTGGTCCTGGTACACTCTGTAAGCATTTACTCTGTGCTTTGACCCATTCTGGGAGAAAGATTTTCCTTTTATTAAAATTAAACACAGAATCAGAAGATTTCTGTGTAATCACAAAAAGTCCACAAGTACTAGACCTAAGCCTAAATTAAATAGGTCACACTAACTCTAAGACTAAGTACTTACTAAATGCTAAGGTGAACTAAGTCAAATTACTCCGCTAAAATTTATTTGCTGAGACATTATGTCATTGATTGGTATTTTAGTTTTTACAAAGTATAAGTCTACAAGTATAATATAAATAGTGCCCTATTACAATTTACAATGAGTACAATGTAAACATATAATGGTGTCAATCTTGTTTTAAAAAACATTTTATTTGAAAACGAGATTCTTTCAGGGTATTTTCTGTTGCTTATGTGTGATTATTGATGACAGTAATGATCGATTTTAATTTTTGTGACTTCTTTTAGATTCTTTTGGATTTTACTTTTGGTGACTAAAATTATTAATTTTTTTTCTGATTTATTAACAGATCACGGCAGGCTATTTTCACAAATATGAAGTGCCTGCCTTCCTCATTTTTGTTTCTTCATTCATACTTAACTGCATTAAACTACACCCATCTCTGCTTGGAGGAGATTCTGGAGAACTAATTTTTGCTGCTTATGAATTGGGGGTATGTTTTCTGCTCCTTTAACTAACCTTTCCAGAACAAAATGGAAAATGCACACTTATTGTAAAGTATAATATGCATCTTTATTTTATTTCATGATTACTTCATTAAGAACAAGGAGTCTCAATTAGTTATTGACACCCAAGATATTTCATTAGCAGCAATAGAAAGCCTACTTAATTTCAGTATTACCTACTGGTGTGGGAATTCAACGTCTGATATTAAACACCGCATAAACCGACTAATCAAGAAAGCTAGGAACATAACACAAACTAAACATCCTTCACTTGATGAACTATTTGAAGAAAGATGTTTTTGTAAAACTAAACACATTTTTGATGATACACCCCACCCTCTTCATCACAAATACTTAGGATCGGGCCGTTCAGGGCGAATTCTTTTCATCAGGGCGAGGACTGAAAGATATAAAAATTCTTTTGTTCTCCAATCTGTACAAACTTACCCACGTGCTCCCTCTGAAGTCACACATCTTCATGAGAACTAATAAGTCTCCGATTTGGCTAAGAGAACTCACTGAATGGCTGTTTGAGATAATTTATTATAAATGTCTTGTCGTCAAATTGTTTTATTTATGTGCTGATAATGTATAACGCAATCAAAAAACATTTCCATTTATTTGGATCAATAAAAGAATCTTATCTTATCTTATCTTATCTTATAAATGTTGCAAATTTGTTTTTACTTTCTGTCAGGTAGCTCATCCACCTGGTTACCCATTGTTTACCATGCTTGCCAAATTATTTATGACTGTCATACCATTTGGTTCAATTGCTTGGAGAGTAAATCTGTTGTCTGCTTTTTGCAGTGCACTGAATTCTGCTATTCTTTTTATAACGGTTTATAGGTGAGAGGTTCTAATTTAAAGCTGATAAGGACATTTATGTTAAACTTGTATTTATTGAGTTAAAACAATAAACTAGCTTCAATGATGGGTAGTAATGATTTTGTATCACATATTTTAAGCATTTAAAAAAAAACCACATGTACTCTTTTTTTAAAGAAGCTAATGCTTTTAATTTGTATCATATTACAGGCTTACATTCCAATATGGAGCAGCTATCTTCGCTTCATTTGTCTTTAGTTATAGCCCACTTGTATGCGTTTGGTCAGTAACTGCAGAGGTCTTTAGTCTAAATAACCTTCTTCTTTCATACATCATGCTAACAGCAGTGTTGTTTGATGCTGGTAGTAAAGAATCTCTTGCAAAGGTAATGAATACAAAAATGGGTAAATAACAATATAATACTTTTACTTGTTTCAATTTTTTTTCTGTTCTTTGCCTCATTTAATAAAGATACTACTATTTTGGCTATTTTAAATGTTTTGAAGGATAGCTTTCCATTATGTCTCATAAATTCTCTTTCAATGTTAACAAAAGATATAAACAAATATGAGGTTTCAATGAGAAACTTTTAAAATTAAATAAGTTTTAAAGTATTTTTAATGTGTTATTTTTAAAATTAGATTCTCTAACAAATTTTTGCTGCATCAAAATACTATTATAATACTTTCACTCATAATTTTAAATACATTAAATTTTGTTTTATTACCAAGATATCATTGATTGGCTCATTTCTGAGTGGACTTTGCCTGACGAACCAACACACCAGCATACTCTACATTATTCCACTTATTCCTTGGGTCTTCTACAAGTTGTGGAACAAGCAGGTAACTTTTGAAACTTCAATGAAAGTTACACGTTTTTTTAAAATGATGTTCTAAAATTAGCAAAAAATAACAGTTTGTTCTCTTTTATTTGCTTTTATCAGTTCCCCCATTTGAGATTAATTACTAAAAAATAAATTATACTGCAAGCTTAATTTTAGGAAACAGTGCAATGCATATTTAAACTGTATTTTACAAAATGCTAGTTTGTTACGTACTGTTATATGGTTTAACCGATTTAATTTGGCTTGTTACATGACCAATACTCAACAAAGGACTAAAAACCAATATGCAAAGAAATACAGTGCCAGAACTAGTGATATTATTATTGTTCTTGTTACAGTGTTCTTATATAGCGCCTAGGGCTGGGCTCACCGTGCTTCACATAAAATTATTAGCAAACATAATCGTGACATTAAAAAAATTACATATCTTTTATCCTCGCCCAACCCAGAACTATTTGCATGTCAAGCCATAGACGGCACCCAGTAACATCATTTATTGGTCTTTAACAATATTCAATTTATTTTGGGGAAAAAAATTCTGATATAAAATATGACTCAAAAATCTGTATGTCATTGGAAGATCTACCAGTCACAACTGAAGTCTTATTTATAGTCAGGGAATCAGAATTTTCTAGAATGGAAAGTCTAGAAATTCAGTCATCAGAGAGTATATTTTCTATCTCCATGTAGAACCTTCTGGAAACTGTTAAAAAACTTTACCAATCAAGGGAGGGGAGGGAAGGAGTGGTAGAATCTTTCTCCTATTTTATTGGGATGACACAGACATAACACATAGCCCTAAGATAAGGGATGCACTATGCAGGGTGAATCAAAATTTGTGTCAACACATAGGTTATAACATCATTACTTAAATGAAAGCTTGATTGATGTAAGATTCTGTTTCTATATTTCCAAATTATTTCCTATTATTACACATTATTAAAACCTTCTTCATGTTTCAGCTGTTTACAGTGTCTCTGCTTGTGAAACAGGGTGTGTCATTTCTGTGCGGACTGTCACCTTATCTCTATCTTCCTTTATCATCTTGGCTCCATGTTGCCAGATGGACGTGGGGCGACTCAAGTTCTCTAAGAGGATTTCTTAAACATTTATTGAGAGAAGAGTATGGCACATGGGATTTGGTAGGTTATTGCTAGTAATGAAGGTTCGAAGCATCATAAGGTGTGTAAAACAAAAAGTATAATGAAGTTGCTTGAAGCTTTTTACTAAATTAAACAAGAAATAAATATTTTGGCTCCAAGAGTTCTCCAACAGACCAACAAAAAAAACAATTAAAATATTTGTAATATGGTTAAAAAAAAAATAAGAAGAAAAGGCAAAAAAAAAATTAAATAAGACAGCTCAGCATAAAAAAAAAAAAAAGAAGTTATGTAATTTCTTTTAATTATTGTTAATTGTTATAGTGCTAATAATACTATGTGGAAAGAACCTTGTTGAAATAAATGGATTCTAATTTTTCTAAAAACAATATATTGAATGGAATTATGTGCTCCTTGACTCTGGTTTGTCATTTCTCTTAGAGGTAAAAAAAAATTACATTTTTGCTAGACACCACTATCAACTTATTAAAAAGATTAAAATTTTTCAAAAAAAATTCTTTATGCCCAATAAATTAAAAAATGTATTTTAAAAAAAATTGAATTGTTTTTTCAGCTGAAAGATCACACAGGTCAAGGTTTTGCCACAGGACTCATGTAAGTTACTGTGAAATGTATTGTGCATTTGAATGACAGAAAAAAGTAGCATATTTTTTATTTGTATTGACCTAATTTTTTAGAATTTTTTCAAATGAAAGCCCTAAATTTGATAACAGATGTCTTTTATGCATGACCAAAGATTTAAAAATTAATATTTTATTTTCCAGAGCTTACATTAATCATTTACTGATTGATGTGTCTAGAGGGGTTTTTGCATTGGCTGTCTTCTCAATATTTTCCATTTACTCAAGGTTAGTACAAGTCTGGAAATATTTGCTGGCTGTGCTGTGTTTTGAAATCTTTACAAAGAAAACATTTGATTGCTTTTGTATTAATACTTGCTAATGAATTTCCTTTTCATAATATTACTTTTTTTTGTTTTTTTTTTTGGTTGAAATTTCAGATATAGGTCAAGACATAGTAGTGTCCTGCTGGTATTTGGTCTCATGCTGTTGACTTACATCTCGTTTTTCTGCTGGAGGGCCAACCTGGATATCAATAAGCCTTTATTCTACAAAGTGGCAAGCTATAATCCTGTTTTCATTTGTGAATTTAAAAAAAAATCTAATTTTAATGAGCTCATGTAGAAACTTTTGCAAGAGATCTACAATCTGAACCCTTAGTTTTTTTTCCATCATCATTGAACCGAAAAAATGTTTGATGCTTTTGTCTTTCATCTTTTGTTAGAGAGAAAAAAGTTTATTTTATTTTTATTTTCACAGATAAATCCTTATTCAAAAATGTTATGCTCTCTTAATTTTATAGAATTTTCAGGTTCCTTTGAGTGGTGTAATAATAAATACAATAAAAAAAATAATAACCATTAATAGAGAAAAACAAATGGAATGGTGAAATATTTAAAGCTAATATGACTTGGTTTGACTTAAAAAAAATTTTCAGGTTTTCACAGAGGGGAATGATTACCAAACAGTTGAACCTCTACTTAGAATCTGTTTGTTAAAGAACCTATCATCACGTTTGTTTACAGGTTGAAAGGTTTTGGATTCAGAGTGATTTAATACTTGTCATCCTTGCGAGTCAGGCATTTGCTGATATTTGCAGGTTGGTAAACATGACATGCATGCTGATTTGATTTTGTGTACTGGTAGAATCTTGAATATGATTATTTAAATAAAATTAATTATTTGGAAATACATTTTTTTGTTCACGCACTTGCTGTTTGTTTGCTACAGTTGGTTTGTTGCTTAATTTTATGACATGCGGAATATTTCTATGTCAGATTATGTAGTGAGACATTGCATGCGGAATATTTCTATGTCAGATTATGTAGTGAGACATTGCATTTTAACTATTTCTAGATCAGATTATGTAGTGAGACATTGCATTTTGAATATTTCTAGATCAGATTATGTAATGAGACACTGCATGTGATAAATCCGACAAAAGGTATAAAATTGTTTTTTCTTTACAGTTATTTAAAATCAAGGTTAAACCTACAGAACCTGAGCTTAGATATCATCATTGTAATACCTTTACTTTCTACTTACATTGTAAGTTTTTGTTGATAATTTTTTTATGGTTCTTAAAATGTTTTGATAAATAATTTTAAATTCTCTTTATTCCTTATTACTTTTATTTTTTTTTGTTGCCAGGATTTAAATGTTCTTTTTGATATCAAACCTATTTAAAAAATTGGAGTCAGTTTTGAAGAAAAAGAAAGCAAATTTAATATTCAGAAATCTATTTTAAAAATCTAATTGACCTAGAATTTATTTAGTTGCGGGAGGAAAAAATAAGAAGTTTAGATTAAATTAGGCTTTAAAAAAAAAAGAAAATGGAAAAATAATTGTTCTTTTAGTTTAAATCTTAAATTGAAATTTATAATGAATATTATGAAGATTTTTGTAATTTGTAAGTTTAAATAATAATTGTTTCATTTAAGTTCTGTGACAATCACAGTGAAAATAAATTTGGAATATAAAATGTCTATTAAGTACTTATCATCATTCAACAAAGAACATACAGACTGATTTGTTTCTCATCAGCTTAGTGGATGGTCTGCCTGTGATCAAAGTGGAAACTTCCTCATTCAGGACTTTGCTCTTCAAATGCTGCACAAATTTCCCAAGGGATCGATTATTCTGACCAAAGGAGATCTTCCTTCTAATAGTTTTAGGTACTCCTAGAAATTTCTGGCTTGTCAATAAAAGAAGTTTATTCTGTGGAAGGTGTTTCCATATAGTTACATAATGCAGATGGGTTTTAGAATGTTGGCAGCAAATGCAGTGTATACTGGCTGAAGATAACTTTAAGTATAGTAAAATTAATGTTTCCTATTTTTGTTGAAATTGACAGGTACTACCATTTTATTGAAAATGTCCGGCCAGATCTCTCCTTATTTGACCAGGAGGTAAACATGATAAGGCTTTTTAGACAAAACTTGTGCTTTTGGTTTGATTGCATGAATTTTACAGTTAGCCGATAGAGTCAATAGATGTTGAGTATAACTAATGCCAATTAGACAATGATTAGGTTTCTCTTGACCTCAGGTCTTAACCTACGAGTGGTCACTACCTATGACCAGCAAGTTCACTCCAGGGATTAAATTTCCGGGTGACCTGATGCACCTCTACTCCGGAGTCAGGAGTGATGGAAAGAGGACATTCACCTTTAAAGACCTGTTAGATGCAAATTATGCCCGGTATGGTAATACCCGTTGACGCCCTGCAAAGTCCCATGGCGTGGGTGCAGTGGTTAATCAATGTGTCAGATAAATACCCTGTTGATCAATAACAATGCATTCTCCCCTCTGATTAGTTGGTGTTATTTGCTTTAAGGTTGTACTATTTTATTTTCACAGACAACAAAGAATTTATTTAAGAAATGAAAGATTAAAAAATAAGTAAAAGTGGAAATAATTTGGTAAAATACATCAAAATATTGAATGTTGTGTGGGACACTCACACACACGCTGTCACATTGTTTTTTTTTCTTCTTCTTCCCACCATTTAAAATTGAAGAGAAAAAACATTTTTATTTAAATACAAAAAAGTTATATTTTCTTAGTATTAACATTTTGAAGCAATTTGTATGGTATTTAAGAGATCATTAACAGTAAAATGTGCTCCAAATTATTAAAAACTAAAGTATTTTTGATGGTTCATATATTTAAAGTCAATATTTAAGTTTTTAAAGGTGCTAGATTAGTTAAGATTTGATTGTGTTAAATTTCTCACCATATCATGTAATATGTGCATCATGGTAATATTCTATTTTTTTTAGGGCCCCTATCTTTGCTTGCATAGGTGCTCAGGAACATGACTCTGCCTGGAAGGCCAGTTACGAGCTGTGGCCATTTGGTGTGTGCTGGCAGTTTGTGGACAAAGGAAGAAAACTAGATACTAACCTGTGGACTAATGCCACAGCAGGTGTTGCTGATGACTGGATGTACCCATGGACTAGGTACTTATTTTAAAATGTTGATCCTTAGAAAACAAAAGCAGATGTACCGTGCAGGGAATATAAGCTACACCAAGTATAACACTGAACTCATTTAAAGTATATTGACTTATGATACAACAGTAGTTAACCCATACTTTACCATTAAGCAGGGCATAATGTGTGCATGCACACAAGATGTTAAACCAACACCACATAGAAATTTAGCCCTGAACACAAACTTTCTATTGACGTGAAGGGTTAAATTTGGGAGGTGATATTGAATAACATAAATTTCTTTCTGCAAAGACATTAGGTGATCACTACCCAAGAAAAGTTTGAATTTAATCCTAATATATCAGTTTCTATGTTGTAGGCTAGTTTTTAAGAAATCTCTGAAGTCCTCTTTGTTCTAAAGATTTTGTTTAAAAAATTCAACAAATTACTAATTCAATGAACTCTTTTCTCTTTTCCAGCTTTGATGATGGCTCATGGGAAAATGTGGCAAACTCAGAGATGTGGCGGGCAAAGTAAGCCGTTTTGAAGTCACTTGTGTTTTTTATTAAACAGATGTCTTATTGTTCATTCTTAAACAGATGTCTTATTGTTCATTCTTAAACAGATGTCTTATTGTTCATTCTTAAACAGATGTCTTATTGTTCATTCTTAAACAGATGTATTATTGTTCATTCTTTGCTTGCAAGATATACATTGGATTTGTGTAGTAGCCTTGATTTGTGCTGTATTTTGCTTTAAGTGAAGAAGAGTTGTGCAGTTCGTCAGCCGCATTCTATCGTCCTTTCCTATTTTGATCTAATGGCAAGTCAACTGGGAGATAGACAAGGATTCAGTGGATGACCTGAATGTTTCTTGTGTCTACTTATGCGTTCCACACCGCGGGAGTTGCCAGAATTTTCATTGCGTCAATATCATACCGCCCTTGGGGCTCCTTCTCTTAGATGGGTGGTCATTATAGATTAACGAGTCCCATCATCAATTTTGGAAGTGACATATTTTTTCCACACAGCCAGCCACCATAAAACGAGTTGTCTGGCAACATTGCTGGGTTGCTTTCTGATGGTTTTATTAACTCTGTCACTGTATTGATTTTTTATTAGTTAATCTTCAAGCTTTACTGGAGATTTTAAAACCATTCAAATAAAAAAATAATTAAAATCATTTTTTGTATATATTTAAACATATTTATATAAATACAAATTGTATGACTTTCACATAAATTGTATTCCATTCTTCTTAACCATTGATTATTAACTGAGTTTCAGTTTTCTAAACTATTAAAATCCAAAATGCCACACTAAAAATCTAGGACTCATTTCAGATGGAAACTTTATTTGTTAACTTAGTTTCTGTTAATCTTTTATTGGTCACAAAACATTGTATGTATTCCAATTATTTGTATAAAAATCAACTTTAAACAACTTTAATTTTTAAAACCTGCTTAAAAAAATATAATGGACTTCAGAGTAATTTTGAAACAAAATGATACATAACAGCAGATTCAGTGCAAAAATTCAGTTGAATCACCAGTAATCAGCTCCATGAATTTTTAAGAAAATAAATTGCATTTCATTACTCTTCTATAGGTGTGTATTTTTAGTTAAAACTATTGATCAGGGAAGCGAAAACCGAAATGAAATATAATCTTAATTATTCCAAAAAAATATAATTAAACATCACATACATTTTTTTTTAATTGACCAAAAATTATAATAAAACAATGGAACACATATTTAAAATGTGTAAAAAAAAAGGCCCAAAATAAAAAACATATTTTGTTCTGCAGGACAGTGACAGCCTACTTTTACCTTGAAGAAGCTCTAGCTTTGCCCGAAGGTAGTCAAGACTATGTGAAATTACTTCTAGAGTCATACAAGGTAGGTGGCAGGCAAATTTTTTAAAATAAATATATTTTTAAAAAAATCCAAATAGGTGTGTTTCAAAGCAGAAAAAAAAATTGAAGATAAAATTAGATTATATAATACCAATTTTTCTAATACAAATATTTATTAAAAATTTTGCTATAGCATTTAAACCATATTTTGTTCATTGTAAAAGCATTTTTTTTTCCTCCTAAGCTGTATACAATAGAAATCAAGAAGCACACCATCTACCCAGCATACTGGCACCGCAACTACGCCATAGTGTGCGAGAGACTGATGCGGGAGAAAACACCCTTGGATGAGTTGATGCTGCTAGGGAAGACCATAGAACACTTCAAACAGTTTGTCCTAATGGAGCCTGGAGATGCTGATGCTGAAAAGCTGCATAAAGCCATCAGAAGCTTAGAGGATTACAAGAACAGCTTAACCACGTCTTAATCCCGTGCTGGGGTTCAGGTTTTCAATAACATCAAGTCCACCGATAATTTTTGTTTTGGAACCTAACTGGGAGTTATCCTTGAGAGGAGGGTGTGCACAAATTTCTATGACTGGCATAAAATATTCCTCTGTAAATACTGCACTTCAGAACATGTATATTTCCTTTCTAGAAGAGTGCTATTCAAACTGTAAACATGGGACATGACAAACATTTTTCACCTCATAATCACTCAAGAACTGCCAACCTATTAAAGAAAATTATGTTTTTACAAACAGTAACAGCAACAAATAGCTATCAAGTGGCTCTACCGGTTATTTCAAACCAGGAACCAGCAGTTATGAGTTGCTCTACCAATCATTTCAAAACCATGTTATGTATGGGTGTAGGTATGTGCGTACTCATGTGAAAGTCATTACTTCATAATTTTTTTTTCTCCCGAAATATCAGATTTTGATTTGCTCAAAACGATCTGTATCTGAATCCTTAACTGAAAATAAAATGACACGTGATTTTAATTCAGAACAAAGTGTGATTAAAAGCTGTACATGATTTTTAATGTGCCTGCGTACGATATTGCAAGTATAAAAATATACCCACCAAAGACTAATAAGGAAAATATTTCATGAATGATTTAATGTTACAAGTTTGCCATGAAAACTTTGTCCTCTTTTGGCTTGCCTTCCAGGTGACCCATCATCACCAGAGCCTTGTCACTTTTGGCCTTGACCTCAGAAATGTGACCCGTGTCCAGTGTTGCCTTGGCGCTGACACTGAATAGCTTCGGACCTTCTATGTCCACGGATGTTGAAAAAAAGTAGCCATTATAGTTCTCCGATGACTTTTGCCCAGCCAAGAATTTGGTTCCTAAAAATGTGGGTGTTGACGGCTTGCTCTGAAATGAAATCCATAGAATGCGAGTAAAAATTAAATTTCAAGTAATGTTTCATTACATTATATTACATGAACGCATTGTTTCAAAATGTTATTATTATTATTATAGCTGTAAAAAATTAAATAGTTTTTTTCTGTTTCTCAAACCATTCGCAGGTCTGCTTTATGTTTTGGTTTGATAAGCACGTCCAATCATTATTTACATTTTCTTTTTAGAATTACAATTTCTTGATCTAACTATCTTTAAGTGATAACTTTTTGGAAACAATTATTCTTTTTTGTTATTACCCTTCAAATTTTCAAACAAAATTTAAAGAAAAAAAAAATCAAACAGATGTTACAGTAAATTAAATAAATCCTTGCCTTTATGCCAGTCCACCATTCTCTTATTGTGCTGCACTCTCTGTGAATTCGTCCATAACATCTTGTTCTCAATTTGGGGATTGTGCTGTTTTGAATCTGAAATGATATCTTTCTCATCATTTGCAACCAAAGCAATCTTGTCAGAAATGTAATCTCCTATTTATCTTTGTTTTTCTAATCATTATTTTATATAACAATTGAATGGAGGCTTTCATAAACGAATTTGCTCAATATCAAAATACATTTTCAAATATTTTAACTGATACTATTCCATGTATTGCTTTTTTATACTTTTGTCTTTGGACATTTTGTCATTGACAACAATTGTTACAAAATAAATTCTTTTAAAAATGTTTTCTTAATATCTTAAAATTGAGTGAAATCTATTTTCACATTAAAAGCAATTCTATGGATTTAAAAAGCCCATCAAAAGCATTTTTCATCAATTTAGAATTCGTAATTTTCCCATAGATGGATAAGTTCTCATTATTGCATCTCATCAACATTGTAAGTTTAAGAGTTGTTTTCATCAAGTCATGCAATCTTTTCAGGATAACCCACCCCTTCCCTGGTTACCTTCCCTTCCATAGTTCTCTTCCCCTCCCTACTTCCCTTCCCCAGTTCACTTCCCCAGTTCCCCTCCCTAATTTTCCTTCCCTAGTTCTCTTTCCCTGTTCTAATTCTCTTCTCAGTCCCCCTCCCTGGTTCTATTCCCAGTTCCCTTCCCTATTTCTGTTCTCTAATTCTCAACACCAGTTTCCTTCTATTCCCTCGTTCTCTTACCCAGTTCCCTTGATTTCCCTAGTTCTATTCCCCAGTTCTCTTATCTTCCCTAGTTCTCTTCCCCAGTTCCCTTCCCCCATTCCCTTCCCTAGTTCTCTTCATCGGTTCCCTTCCCTAGTTTTTACCATGAGTTCCCTTCCCTTCCCTAGGTCTCTTCCCCAGCTCCCTTCCCTTCCTTAGTTCCCTTTGAAAGCCAGCAGTTCTGTGTTGGAGTACCTAGGAGAGATTAATAATGTCCTATTGGAAACATCTTGTGAAACATGACTCACTTGTTCTCCGTCTATGGCTAGTATCTGTGTATCAGAGACGTGTCCCTTTAGTCTGTATGACATTAGTGAGGCGGCTGTCATGGCACAGCTTCCTGTCACCAGGATCTGATGGAAGAGGTCAAGGTACATCATACGGAGGTTGTCATACAATAAATGGTGATATCCAATACAATTAATGGGGTATTCCAATACAATAATTGGTGCTATCCACTGCTGTATTTGGCATTATCCAGTACAATAAATGATGTCATCCACTGCACTATTTGGCATTATCCAATACAAAAATAGGATTATCCAATCCAATACGGTACAATAAATGGTGTTACACAATGTCACCAAGGGTAGGGTAGTATATTTTGAAATTGTGTTGGCTAATCGCAGGGCAGGCCTTAGGCCACTGCAACCCCTGCGGCCGCAGTGGGCCCCGCACTTTTTTTTTGCCCCGCGCAATCTCCCCCCGCACGGGGCCCCGCAATTGTAGGGACCGGCCCTGGGCAATCGTACCACCACAAGATGAGTGGGGGGAAGATGGAATATTATAAATTATATATATATTTTTTTTTTTTTCTGGCGTCCGTCCGTCACAATGTAACGATGTTTTTTTCGAACATGCTGGTGGTGTTTGATCTCCAGACCACCAACTTGAGATTTACTCAGTTTAGACGTTTAGACCACTTGGCAACCCAGCCACCCAATATATAAATCTAACATTTATACATTAATATAAAACCATCAACACTCTCTTAAGGCTAGTAAGGTAACGCAGCATGAATGATCAAAGGGTTAAATTAATGTTTCTCCGCGACTTACTTTGGTGTTGGTGAGATGGCACGTGTGCAACATGCTGGACACGTCGTGAATGTAGGTCACCAGGCTCACCAGAGATTGGAACTCCGACGTTGACGTGCCGGCCGTGCACCGACTGGCCAGTACTATAACGACGGCGTCCAATGTTTGTGTGACGTCACCGAGCGTTAGTTGAGCAGAAACATCTGAAAAGACATCATCTATTATAATTTTTTTTTATTATAATTTTTTTTTTTTTTTGGTTAAAACGTCAGTGTCTTTCAATCTACAGACGTGGATTTATGACGTCATTTACTCGTGTATAACATCTATGTACTTAAGATTGAAGTTACAAAATTAAGAAAGAAATTTCAGCTGGTGGACTCATTCAAGTTAATAACAACACAAACATGTGGATAAATATTTATTCGTTGAAATTGCATTTCAAATACTAATTAATTAAACAATAGTTTTGATTATTTTTTTTATTTGTTTAAATATTGAGTGACCGACCTGTGACCAGTGGATAGGCGCAGTCATGTAGATCCATGCAAACTTCCTCCAACTGGTCGAGGTTTGAGGCTTGTAGGATGAGCTGGAGTTTCTGAAAGAACATCGGTTGGGGCGGGGTATATAGAAATGGGTCGCAGACAGAAAACTCTTAAGTGAGTTGGATGAAGTCAGTGGATCTAAAAGTCTGAAAATTAGGCTCTATATCAGTGCTGAGCTGAGGGAATCTTAACGTCATTGTTAACAGGTCGAGAGTTGAAATAACACTTGCAAAATGCTTATACAAAACTTGTTCGAAAAAAATCTTAATTGATAAAATACCCAGTTAGATCGGTGTTTCTCAACCTTTCTAATACGGCGACCCTTTAATAAAGTTTCCTCGTGTTGTGGCGACCCCCAACCATACAATTATATTCCATGCTACTTCTTGAATATGTTTTTTTGCGATGGTCTTAGGCGACCCCTGTGTAAGGGTCGTTCGACCCCCAAAGGGGTCGCGACCCACAAGTGGATAACCACTGAGTTAGGTTATCAGATTTAAATTTGGCTCCAAATCAAAACTACCAATGGAACCAACTGCTGGAATTAAAATATGGAATATTGCTCTTTTGACTTGAATGTGATTTTACCATAGGCCTATTTAAGCCGAGCCGGATTAACTTTTTGGAGGCCTGGTGCCAGAGGCGTAGCGAGAGTGTTGGCGCGCGGGGACATCTGTCCCCCTGCCCCTCACCCCCTTCTCTAAACCTCTGGCCTGGTGTCAGATCGCCAGTTGCACCATTGTTAATCTGGTACTCCTCATTAGAGCAGGGGAAGTGATTGCGTTAACCAGTTAACACACATATTGTGTGGGCTGAAAAATGGCCAAACACAAAACAAAACAACAACACCACCACCATTAATGACTGACCTGGTCGATGCCAAAGACGTGTCCTGCAGCCATCTGAGTGAGAATGATGCTGCACGCGTCAATGTCCTCAATACACAGACCGACCCTCAGAGTACGGTCACTTGGAGTGTTCATTGCGGGGGGGGGGGGGGGCGGTGGGGGGGTGGGGGGGCCTGATGTGTGACACTGTGGGGGGGGGAGCTACAGACACAGATTTGCCGTGAAATACGTCGGCGTGGTTACATTCGTGGGGAATGTGGCTGTGCCACACCGTTAATATGTATATGTATATATATATATATATATATATATATAATATTTTTTTTATATTTATATATAAACCAAATTGAAAGCTAACAACACGTTCCTATTGTTAAAGAGCACAGTAGCCCAAGAATACTATTTATAAAAGGTTATCAAATGTATTTATAAGAATTATAAAATGGACAAATTATAATCTAATAATAAAATAAGTGTCACTTATCAAATTTTAAATAATGTTTAACCGAAAATGTCCCGACAGAGCTGTACTGTGTTTTATAAACAAAAAAATGCTGAGACACAGTACTGCAGCAGTATAAATTGTAGGCCGAAGTCTGCCACAGTTGGTTAGAGTTTTACCTTCTTTAGCTCCACGTAAAAAGATGTCGCGGACTTTGACACCGGCTTAAAAGTAAAGTAATTGATGAACACTTTCAACACAATAATTAATTGAACATTAGATTTTTCGTGAAGAAATCCAAGTGAATATGAAGAACGGAAATCGTAAATGATAAATTATATGATGTTCAAATCACACTATCTTTTGTGCCTTTTCAAATATCATTATTAATTTGCTCGTAAGTCCAAGCGACCTACTTACTTGTATACATACTAATAACACATGTGAACTTTAACCTTAATTCACCTTAGTGGTTTTTTTTTATCCCATGAACAGTGACATTATAATATGATCCTGATGTGTTCTGGGATGAGAATAAAACTAATGTGGTGATGCACTTTGTAAACAGCAGGGCCGTGCACAACGGTGGGATGATTGGATGAGGCCCCGGGCCGAAAAATCAAGGGGCGTCAAAACAAAATTATTCGTGCAAATTAGGCTCTATGTATCTATCTATATATATATATAAATTATTAAATTTTTATTTTATTTATATTTTTTGAGGGGTGGGTTGCGCCCAGGGCCGGCTCAAGATACAGGCAACTCGGAAAGTTGTCCGGGGCGTCATGTGCTTAGGGCGCCATGAACGATCTTACAAAGTAGGAAAAATCATTGCATGCGGGCGCCATGGAACAAAAATGGAAAGTGGAGTAAAAAGATTTGCTGATCTAAAAGGCACAGTCATTTATAAATAACTGAAAGACACAATCAGATACAGATAACTGAAAGAAACAGTCATATATAAATAACTGAAAGACACAGTCATATGTAAATAACCTGAAAGATACAGTCATATATAAATAACTGAAAGACAGTAATATACAAATAAATGAAAGACACAGTCATATATAAATAACTGAAAGACGCAGTCACATATACAAATAACTGAAAGTCACAGTCTTACACAAATAACTGAAAGACACATTCATATATGAGTAACTCATGAAAGACGCAGTCACATATAGAAATAACTGAAAGACACACTTGACGTCCTGGGTAAGTTTCTTTCCATAAATGATGTTTAATTAATAAGGAGTCTGCGGGGAGGGGCGAGGGTGGTGGGGGGGGGGCTAATTTGTCAGGTTCTGATATACTTGTCACCAATGTTCTCGTGGCCCATCATGACGTCACTGTAACACTCGGAGGAGTGGTTGAACCAATGGAAGAGGCGGGCACTAAACTTGAGTCTCCTCTCAGGGGCAGTGTCCAGCGCCCTCACATAGGTGCCGAGGATCATGGGGGTTTCACCATTTCCGTCAGGAAAATCGTCAGGAGTCAAGGACGGGCACGGGGGTCCGAGGGATAATTCAAATTGTTCACCTTACGAAAAAGACAGGAACAATTTAATTTATAAATATGTGAATTATAATTTAACATAACTTATGAGAAAAATTGATACGTGATTTAAGCATTTTAGACAAGTACTATAAATGGCACATAATTTACCAGTGAAGGACTAATTCGATAGTTTGATGAAGAAAAAAACAAACATCTCTTTAAATATGTCCTTCACCACGGCCAATCAAAGTCCCACCTCACGGCCAATAAATGTCCTGTGGTCTATTGTCCTACCTACCAGCAACATGGATGTTCGGTTTCCGGTGGTCAAGATCTATCCAGCACACCGGCATGTTCCTATAACGGACTCGCTTCAGACGCTTGACCCCGCCATGGTTCTCCTCCAGCTGAACTTCTGGTAGTCCTTGGACAATGCAACTGCGTGGACAGGGGGCAGAATCAAAAAGTTACTATAAAACGATAACATGTCGCTGGGTGAAGTAGTTTTTCAACAGGACCCCACTCCCCAGTAACGACTGGATGGTCCCCTTTATCATTATCATTCAAACATGTATAGAATGCTGTCTCAAACGTATAATTCTAAGTGGTCTGTTGTAAAAACTGTTTACTGTTTAGCTTTTTGTTATTTCATTTAACTATACATAATTATAATTTTTTTTATTTTTCTAAATTACAGTCAAATAAAGGAAGATTTTTAAAGTGCGTAAACCAACGTTATTTGATTCGTGTCGGATCCACCCAGTGGCGTAAAAAAAGGGGGTGCGGAGAGGCGGTTCGCCCCGGGGGGGGGGGCACTTTTTCCCTCCTTATATTGAGGGGCAGCAGTTTCGCCTGCCAGGAGAGATTTTTTCTTTGGAAAGGGGCGGCCAAACACTTTACCCACCCCGGCCGGCACTAAAACCTCGCTACGCCACTGGGTCCACCACATCACNGTTTCAAGAACTTCTTGTTTTTTTATTTAGTTTTTTTTTTAAAAGAAGAAAAAAAAACATACACACATTTTGCAATATTCTGATAACACATACTCCAACATTTTAAAATAGAAATACTCCCCCACCCCCAAACACACACACACACACAAAACATAAAAAATTACTAGCTTTAAAAAAAATAATTACATCTGTTGGCTTTGTCTTTTAAAATATAATTTGGTTCCAGGAGAAAATGGTCAATGTTGGAGGGAAACAATCGTCTTTCGTTCCATCAAACAAGTGTTTAAACATAAATTCTATAGACGTTGTGAACCTCATCTTTGAGAATGAAACAGTGAAAATTTTATAGCAAACCTCCCACTGTTTCGGTAATCTAACTGCCTTTAACTGCACAACATCCCCTGCGACAACCCCCCCCACCCCCACCACAATGGCACCCGACCTGTATTTCAAATGTAGCTTCAGGGAATGCATATTTCGGACAAGGTAGGACGTTTCCATCATGGGGTCTGTCTCGGCTTCACGGCTGTGTTTTAAGTGGCCGTACTCTCCAACCAACTGCTCAACCTTGGGGTCCATAAACACGAGACGGAGGCGTATTGTCTAAGGAAAAAGGGGGGGGGGGATAAAGATGACTTTTATAAGTCATAAGTTAAATTTTTTGCCCATTAACTTTTGTTGTTGAAATCTTTGCATGTGTGAAATAGTACTGTGGTAGGAAAAAAAATATTTAAAAAAAGTAATTAATACTTTATTGTAATTAAAATCGTTAAAGTTTCAAAAATAACAGATGACCCTGAACTTCATCATCCCACCTTCACCCCACTCGACTATTAAAAAAAATTAAAAGGGAAAACAATGTATAAAAATTACTAACAAAAATATTGACGCAAATAGCTTCAAAATATCAGAAATGTACTTCCAAATATTTGTGTCTTTATCCACGCCTGGCTTTCCTTTGGAAATACAAACGAATTTGTGACATGTTGAGCTCAGTGTGTCATGGTTTCATGTGTCTTGAGTTCAGTGTGTCATGGTTTCATGTGTCTTGAGTTCAGTGTGTCATGGTTTCATGTGTCATGGTTTCATGTGTCTTGAGTTCAGTGTGTCATGGTTTCATGTGTCTTGAGTTCAGTGTGTCATGGTTTCATGTGTCATGGTTTCATGTGTCTTGAGTTCAGTGTGTCATGGTTTCATGTGTCATGGTTTCATGTGTCTTGAGTTCAGTGTGTCATGGTTTCATGTGTCTTGAGTTCAGTGTGTCATGGTTTCATGTGTCATGGTTTCATGTGTCTTGAGTTCAGTGTGTCATGGTTTCATGTGTCATGGTTTCATGTGTCTTGAGTTCAGTGTGTCATGGTTTCATGTGTCTTGAGTTCAGTGTGTCATGGTTTCATGTGTCAGGGTTTCATGTGTCATGGTTTCATGTGTCTTGAGTTCAGTGTGTCATGGTTTCATGTGTCTTGAGTTCAGTGTATCATGGTTTCATGTGGCATGGTTTCATGTGTCTTGAGTTCAGTGTGTCATGGTTTCATGTGTCATGGTTTCATGTGTCATGTTTCACGACATTCAAGGAAATGCAGTCTCTTTATTTTAAAAAAATATACATCTGTTCAAATTTAAATGTATCGATTTTCTCATATTAAACAAATATATAAATAAAATAAGGGGAATAAAAATATTGACTATTGCATATTCCCCTTCATATTTCACGCCTTTGTGTTGCGTGTCCGGAAATTTGATAGAAAAAAATTTCGTGGACGGTAAATTGATCGGCGGTAATTTGATCGAACGAAAATTTGGTCGAACCTTTTTTTCAGTTCACACGTTAAAAGTTTGCTTTAAATTTCTTTTTGAACGCATTATTGTGTTTTGCGATATAGTAGAATGTGTTCAAAAAGAAATTTGACGAAAATTTTAACGTGTGAACTGAAAAAAAAACAGAAAAAAAAAAAGATTCGACCAAATTTCCGTTCGATCAATTTACCGTCGACGACATTTCTTTCGATCAAATTTCCGGTCACTTTGTGCTGTGTCAGTAATCAAATGGTACAAAACGTCATACATTTAATATAAAAAAAAAATTAAAACAATGAGCAGCTTCGCAAATTTCGATGACGTAGTACACAGCAAACACGAAAATTACAACAACAAAAAAATCGTTGCCGTTACCTTGTTGATGTAGGGCAGCAGGAAACTGGGATACGCCTTGACCATCATGTTCTTGTCCCCCTCCATGTGGTCCTCCATGTTGCTGGCACTGATCTCCAGGGCGTCGTCATGTCGGTGACCAGTGTCCACGCGGTTGTTCTTTCTTTTGTTTAACCTTTTGTCTAGGGAAGAATTAATTTGCACTTTACGTTTTGTGTGCATCGTCCTATCCCATGTTCGGGAAGATTTTAAAAAAAACAACAACAAACAACTAAATAAATTAAAAAATATAGAAACTATAAAAGCCAGGTAAAAATAAATAATTCGTCTCTTTTTGCCAACTTAAGTTCTCTGTGGTTTTGAATTTTATTTTAGGGTCCGCTGAGAAAGTGTGGAGTTGGAAAGGGGGGGGGGGGCATTAAAAAGGAAATTTTTTTTTTTTTTTAAAAAAGGAGGTTTTATTTTTTTTTTTTTTAGAAAATTAAAAAAAAAAAGGGTGGGGTGGGAAAGGGGGGGGGGGCATTAAAACGTAAATTTTTTATTTTTTTTAAAAAAGTAGCTTTATATGTTGTTTTTTTAACACAATTAAAAAAAAAAAGGATCCATCTTAATAGTTCTGACACAAATGAAGTAAAGTTCTCACCCTAAATGCAACAAGTAGGTCAAAGGTTAGTCGTTCACACGTGCTTTATAAAGATAGAAGATCTTATGACGTTAGAGGCAGCCAATGACTTACTGTTATTCTGCCTGGGAGGGTTGCTGAAGCTTTGGGGCTGGCACAGCTGACACCATGCCACACTGACCACGGCCGGACCTTGGATTATGTTGCTGGGACTCATCCAGAACCGTGGTTTGGCCTCGCCTGGACAGAACGTGGACAGACACATTTATTGCCTGTAATGTAACACACTGAACACGCTCCTCGTTTAACAAAGGTTTGTATTTTCATGGGATCTTTACCAGCCAGGCGCGAGCTCAACTTAACTTTTGACCATAGATCAACAAAAGAATACGATGCTTCGCTACCATCCCAGGCTTCGAAAGCTGCCTGATTGCATGCTTGAAGTCCTATGGTGAATTGTGAAAGAGATTTTGTGCTAAGATATATTGTCAAATGGGCTACTGTATATACATCCCTACCAGTCTCTCTCTATCTGTCTCTCTGTCTTCCTCTCTATCTCTCTGTTTCTCTCTTTAGCTCTCTCTTTCTCTACCTGTCACTCACCGTTTCTCTGTCTGTCTCTCACCGTCTCTCTCTCTCTCTCTCTGTCTTTCACCATCTCTCACAGTCTCTCTCTCTCTCTCTGACTCTCACTGTCTCACTTTCTCTCACTGTCTCTGTCTGTCTCTCACTATCTCTCACTGCCTCCCACTGTCTCTCCCATTCACCTACCCGGAGCGAGTCGTTCGTTGAGGTGGGGTGGGCGGTACACTATGTTGAAGGTGGAGTTGTTGAGGGACCCCTCGGGGTGGACGTAAAAACTGTGGTGCCCATGACAGGGCTCTACCTGCGTCTCATGGCGCCCTGTGAAGATAACTAGTGCAGTCAGAACATAAATGGTGCACTGTGAAGATAACTATTGCAGTCACAACATAAATGGTGTTGTGACCCTTCAGTTACTGCGTTGGACACTTAAGACATAAAATACAATTTATAACAAAATTTAAGTTCATCTCTCGATGCTGTCAGCCATATATCTCTCAGCCATGTATCTCTCAGCCATATATCTCTTAGCCATGTATCTCTCAGCCATATATCTCTCAGCCATATATCTGATCCATAAATCTCTCAGCCATATATCTCTCAGCCATTTATCTCTCAGCCATATATATCTTGGCTTTATATAGCCCTCTAAACGGAATTCAATTCCACCAACATACTGTGCTACGCCTACAAAGTGACACCATTGAACCATAATCTCACCTACGGAACAGCACATTCCCATTTGCTGAGGCAGTCAACCTTTTCAGTCCAAGGAGGGGACCTTCAAGTATTTCCATTTAAGATAATGATCTTCCTTAGCTTGGTACCAATGAACTGATAATTTTTGCATGGTATTAAATGGTGCTCAGCTCCACCCAATCGAGAAGAATCGGATGAATGCCCTGGTCCCATGACCAGCCAAGACCACGGCTTTCAGCCATATTTCTCACGTCCAGATGCGGACTTCCGGTTCGTCACTTTACGATAAATTTTTAGCTTTGGTTTCGAGATTATTTCCCGTCCATACTTGCACGATATAATATTATTAAAGTGATTTTTTCCCCTTCTATTCCAAATACTATAAAAATGTATCATGGGTAAGGATGCGTCGTCAGTGGTATTGAACGCAAGGGTTCCCAAAGTGTGCGCGAATTCTTTTTTTTTTAAAAAAATGTCATAGTTTTATTTTCAATTTCAGTGTGAGTGAGTGTGGCCTCAAAAGCTCACCTGCTGCAAGCCATTAACTCACCTATCAACTGCTGATGGCAGACGTTTCTTGAAGCTGTCCCTGTATTACGCTCTAAAATAATTAACGTTATATCTATAGTGTTTTTGAAAGTTCTGGAACTTTCTCGGTACTCGTTGTTCGCATTGGAGGGGGTGGGGGAAGGGGTATAAAACATGGTTTAAACTAAGGACGTCGACAAACGACGAAAGTTTAGGAACCAATGGCCGAGCTAATTTATGTTGTTGGTGTTTGAAAATGTTTGTGATGAAATTATTCGGTGCTCACTCCTGCACAACCATGCACCCCTGTTGCTCGTGTACTTTTTTTTTTTTTTTTGACAACCACTATAATGATAATAATAAAGTTTGAAAATCACGCTTCATCCCCAAAGGCTCGAAGCGCGGCACCAAGTCATCCATATTAAAAGAGAAATGAAAAAATCTAACTTATACCACATTGAAATACAAAACGCAAAATTACAAAAAACTACATACAAGAGTACCCATTCTAAGTCTTTCATACCTTGCAACCATAAACAACACAAGCCAATATACATCTAGGAGGTAATAGCCAGCTGGAAAAGTTGGTAGACAACATCACCCCAGCATGTGTTTGCGAAATAGATGTGTTTTCAATTCGGTTTTGAAAGACTCCAGTGTCTGACTGTTTCTGAAAGCGTCAGGAAGTGTGTTCCAAATTGTTGGGCCAGCAAATGCAAAAGTGCGCCTTCCGTAAGTCTCAAGGCGAACTATGCGTACATACAATGAGCGTTCAAACCCACCCCACCTCCCCACACCACCCCATAAAAGTACATTTAGAAAAATCAAATTTATTTATCCACAATTATGACGTCACCATAACAAATATTATGTCACACGTTTTCACCACTGTTTCACGAGCCCCAAGTGCTTCTCAAAATATGCGCCACGCCACAATGAGGTGTCCGCGTTATCCTTGGGCAGCGCCAGGCGAACCAGTGATGTCCGTCGTTGAACTTATTCACAACAACACATTAAAACAAAACAACAACAACAACAAAAACACTGAATCCAGCAATCAAAGTCAATAATAATATCAATTTATTCAATTGTTTTTATCTCTAAAATACACACAAGAAAGTTGTTTTCAAATGGGGACTTTGGTGTACAAAAACAGTTTGATGAGAAAGAACGTGTATGGACATAGAGGTGACGCACGGCTCCCGTCTGTCCAGTTAGGGGGGGGGGGGGAGCATGTTGAAACCAGGGCGACGGGACATTTGAAATAGGGGGGGTGGCGGGGGGGGGGGATTTTCTCTTCGACTCCGGCTTTAAAACCAGAAAACGAGCAACATACAAAATATCCCAACCCCCCCCCCCCNCGTCATTCATATAGACTGCTACTTAGTTTTAATTTATTTACTTTTGAGTGGGGGGAATGCGATATGGAATACCTTATGGTCACGTGCTTTTCTCGGCTTTGTGGAATTTTTCGTCATCATGACAACCTCGTGTGTCTTTAACTTTACATTGTAGATGTAATTTTTTCTTTTTTTTTTTTTTTTTTTTTTTTTTTGTCATTGGGGTGGGACCTAAAAGTTATAATTTTTTCCTCCCTGCAGCAATGAAAATTTGGTGCGGCACCCCTGCCCGCCATGCATATAGGCATAGGCCTAGCTATAGATAGGCACGGAATGGCTCGCACGCGAGATCATCAGTATCAAACTGTATCTCTTTTGGCAGCGCGGAAATCCTCTGCCTGCTCTGATGGACATTCACACCACCCCCTCCCCGCCATTAACTTGTCAGTTTGCTGTCATGATTAAAAAATGTACATCTTAATGCATGTTTAAAAAAAACAAACAAACAAAGTAATTACCAAAAAAAAAAAAGTAAAACCATTGATGATAAAGCACACAAATCTGATCAGTTTACATATAGTCTACTCGTATTTCATTGTGTTAAAATTACTACTTCATAGAGTTAATATTTTCCTATTTGAAAAAAGAGGGGGAAGAATTGAACTGAATTTATTTGTAACTTTAATTTGAAGAAATTTTTTTTTGTATGTTTTTTTTTTTTTTCCCTTCAAAATGGGGGGTTGGGTGGATTATATTAACTATGGTGAATTTTTTTTTCTTTTCCCATCTTAAATGCATGATATTCCACAGGATGGGGGAAACCCCCCCCCAAAAAAAAACAAAAAAACCAACAAAAAAGCCTCGTTCTTCTCCACGAATGGATAACACCAGCCATACAGGGATAACACCAGCCATACAGGGATAACACCAGCCATACAGAAGAGGGACTTTTGGGGGGATGGGGTCAACTTTTGGGTAAACAACAACAAAGTTAGTTGTGTCATCTAAGGTGACGCCGCCCTGGTTTCTCAAATAAGAGTCAGCGAGATGAAAGCGTCACGGCGAAATTGTTGTAATTACAAAATTGTGTGTAGGGTCAACGATGGCGTAAATGGAGGGTGTCAAGGGAGTGGGGGTGGGGGTGGAGGTCAGCTGCGAGGTCAGATGAGAGGTTGATTCCGCACGTCAACCGAGAGGTCAGTTGGTCTGATGTGAGGTCAGTCAGGACGACATTGAGAGGTCATCTGGGAGGTCAGCTGTATAGGGGGTGCCCTGACCTAACACATACTTTGGTGGCCTTGCATCCATATCGTATTTTTTTTTTTTTTTTTTTTTCATTGGGGTGGGACCTAAAATTTATAATTTTTTCCTCCCTGTACCCATGAAAATTTGGTGCGGCACCCCTGCCCGCCCTGCATATAGCCATAGGCCTAGCTATAGATAGGCACGGAATGGCTCGCACGCGAGATCATCAGTATCAAACTGTATCTCTTTTGGCAGCGCGGAAATCCTCTGCCTGCTCTGATGGACATTCACACCACCCCCTCCCCGCCATTAACTTGTCAGTTTGCTGTCATGATTAAAAAATGTACATCTTAATGCATGTTTAAAAAAAACAAACAAACAAAGTAATTACCAAAAAAAAAAAAGTAAAACCATTGATGATAAAGCACACAAATCTGATCAGTTTACATATAGTCTACTCGTATTTCATTGTGTTAAAATTACTACTTCATAGAGTTAATATTTTCCTATTTGAAAAAAGAGGGGGAAGAATTGAACTGAATTTATTTGTAACTTTAATTTGAAGAAATTTTTTTTTGTATTTTTTTTTTTTTTTTCCCTTCAAAATGGGGGGTTGGGTGGATTATATTAACTATGGTGAATTTTTTTTTCTTTTCCCATCTTAAATGCATGATATTCCACAGGAGGGGGGAAACCCCCCCCCAAAAAAAAAGTGGAAATTCTTTATTTTATTTTTGTGGTTACCTGCAAACAACTAATTGTGCCGTTATAAGCAATACATAATTGTACTGTTATAAGCAAAAAATAATCGTACCATTATAAGCAACAACTGATTGTGCCGTTATAAGCTACAAATAATTTTGCTGTTATAAGGAACAAATAATTGTGTTGCTATAAGGAAACGAGGAACTCAAATTATTTTCTTTAAAAATAAAGAACACGTCAATTTATTTTAAGCTGTAACAAAATTAATTGCTCCAAATTATTATGACCACGCGATTGATTAGCCAGTGGACATGTCTATAACTCATTGTATTTAATATATATATATATATCCTTTACATTACACTCTAAGATTTGTTTACAATAACACTTGTATAAAACAAAAAATTAAAATTAAAAAAAATATTATTAAAAATATTTTTTTTAAAAATATGGTTACCTCACGACTAAGGATGATAAAACAATATTAATACCTCACAGCTGATGATGATAAAAAATCGAATCGCACTTGAAATAATCGATTCTGAGGAGAGATTTTAAAAAAAATATTTAAAAAAATAAAATAAACACGCTCACACAACCTGCGATACCATATCGATTTAAACAGACGCCATCTCAGCGGATGCCATGAATTGACTCAGATATGCACAAGGTAAGGGGATTGGGGATAGGTTTCTGTTTTTAGAGTGTTCTCATCATGAGGTTGCCAGGTCTTTACGTAAGCTTGACTTTTTAATCCTATCCTATTTGTTTCGAGACAAAAAAGAAAATTGGCTATTTAAAAAAAAAATTGGGGTGGGTGGGTGGGGGGGGGGGGGAGTGTCAACTTCTTTGGTTGTAATTTTTTTTAAAATTGATTTATTTTATTTTTAAAGGACTCGGAATATTTTTTTTCCCCAAACTCAAACCTGGCAACCTTTCTCAGCAGTATAAAACAGAAAATATCTGGCTACAACGAGAACAAAGGATGAAATCAAGCTATTCGAAACTAAACGATACTGAATCTTTACAAAGAACAACAACAAAATCCCAAATGGCCCATGTCACGTGATAGCATTTCAGAAGGGATAATATAAAATATTTCATTTTTTTTTTTAGAATCATATTATTACAGTGAAATAATATTATAGATGTTTGCAATATGTTTCCCCAGCATATTATTGAGAATGACGGCTCCAAACAATACCAAACAAGGAATCTAAAGCTGTCATAAAAGAGATATGTTTAAAAAAAAAAATATCACAAATTGTTCGCTGAATTTACAAATGTAACTTTCAAATGCCATGGCCCTTTTACGGCAGCAACCAAAGGCAATCTAACAAATAAGCATGGCGTGAAAGTAAATATACAACATTGCAAAAAAACAACAACAACAACAACACCACAGGAATTATTAACCGTTACATGTTAACTGAGAA